CAGTTTAAGATATCGTTAGTGTGACGAGGTTCGATAAGCTCTGGAGAACGGCAAGCCGAAGTACGCTCTTGCAACTCTTCTTGATCGAGAGATCGCAACTACTCTGGATGATGAACAGGATGCCAGAACGAAGATTTACCAGATGGATTCTATTCGCAATGTCACGTATCGGACGGCCAATCAACATGCTTCGAGCAAGATGACTTTGATATTTTACGCGTCTGTCATTGTTGGCCTTGAATTTGAGTGAATGGAGCTTAGATGATTTGGGGGAATCGGTACTGCCTAAAAACCTCATGAATATGCTGCTCATGGAACTGGAATACAGTTGACAGGTGCTTTAAGACGGTTGGAAGAACGATTGTGCGAGAGGTTAATGCTATGGAATGTCTTGTTTCAAATGTCTATAGAATATTTCTACTATGCGGAAAAATCATGGACTTTTCCTGGTAATCTGTTCTACAAAAATGTCCGGTCATTTCAAAACTGTTAAGGGGTGCTGTAGAATTGACACTTTCCAGTGTGACTTTGTTTTTCTATAGCCTGATTGTTAGCTATGCAGCCAAATTTTGTTTTAACTACGATATGCGTATTGTGCGTCATAATTACAGAGCTGCATCATCTGGAACTGTATTGTGTCGAGCGCGCTCATTTTCAGTTAAGCTGTAGATTTAGCCCGTTCGACCGTTAGTCATCTGCCAACACTTGAAATTAACGCAGATACCCGATAAAACTTGATATCTGAAGCACCGTGCTATATCTTAGAGTGAAGAAGACCTGTAATATGGTTCAAATATCCTGAGTAAGATATGGTTGAACGGGAATGCTAAGAAGGCTCCATACTGTACTTAACTCTTTATATTATTGTCACACTAATCAAGGAACAACGTTCCGTTGTTTCGAAAGTTTTTCGTGTTAAGTAAATAGTCTCTTTGCCGAAGCGATGTCGCCTAATGCCGTGTATTTTGTTATTTTTAACTGGTTTCGGCCTGCTATGACATTCTGAGTTGTTCCATATCTTCTTTCATCAAATATGACCTTAAAAACTTGTTCTCGAATGTAAATTTATTCTCCTTATTTTAACAGGCGACAGACTACCTCGTTCTCATACTTTCAATAGAGTCGAAAATCGGGTATGGATCGTACTTAAAAGTCCTTAGGAACGTAGTTGATGGAAAATTTCCCTCCAGTCAGCACGCTTCCGAAACGGGACGGATACTCTTGCCCTAATTAAATTTTACTCTTCCTAGATTCACTAATAAATGCCGACAGATCTTTTGTCTCGATCTACCTCTTTCACAGACTTTAGTGCTACATATGATTTAGACACATCGTTCATAAACATGGGAAATCGTTTCCTATCTGAAGATTTAATGCAACCATCATATCTGCTACTAAAGTTGAAGGAGCGCTGACTTATTGGTCGTGTATTAATTATGAAGCTCACCATTCACATGCACTTCAGTCTTTGTTCTGACTTGTTCTCTCTTTTCCGCTTCGAAATAGTCCTGACTTCAGCAAGCACAAAGATTTCATTCTAGGAGGTGCAGTTTAAGATATCCTTCATATTCATCTTTCATGGCCGCTTCTCCTTTCGGGTCACGGAGGCAGAGGCGTCAGACAGAACTTCCAACGTTCCCAATCCTGTGCCGGAGTCTGGAACAGCTTTCTTCCATATATTTGCACCAGGTTAATCTTGGCCGTCCCCTGGGCCTTCTGCCGGTCGGTTTGCAAGAAACAGTTATTTGGCCTTCCTTTCTAGAGGCATTCGCAACAGATGCCCAAACCATTGCATTTGTGACTTCCCAAACTGGAGAAGTAGAGGCTGTACTCAAAGGCTCTCTTGGATGTCAGTATTCCGGACCATATCGAGGCGCGTAAGGCCAGCGACTCGTCTAAAAACGCCCATTTCAGCAGCTTGTATTCGGGTTCGAAGTGTTTTCACCATGGTCCACGACTCATGACCATAGGTAATCATGCGGATAAAGATCGACTTGAACACCTGGAGCTTAGTTTTCAGACCGAGCCGGCCTTTGTCACAGTGGTTGGCTAATTCACGTAGAACGCCACTGACTACTCTAATTCACCAGTCGATCTCTTCCTCAAATTTTGCATCACTAGTAAATGTGATTCCGAGGTACTTCAACTTCTCCACCTGCTCCACTGCCTCTCCGTTAATCTGAAGAGAGCAACGGGCAGGGAACGAGAAAGCACTAGGCTTTTCGTTTTAGATGCGTTCACACGCATGCCGGTCACGTCGCACTCGACTGCGAACCTTCCTAGGGAGCACTGAAGATCGGAGTTTCAAAAGATCCCAGTAGAACAGGGTCGTCTGCAAACAGCAACCTTCTCGTCTTACCGTCTCCTACACCGATATACCCATTGCTTTGGCTGTTCTGTCCATGTACAACACAATCAGGAAAGGGGACAGGATCCAGCCTTGGCGGAGACCAGTGCCAATGGTGAAAGGTTTCGACTGAACGCCAACGCTCTGATGCAGCACCTGCTATCAGAATACGGTGATTGGATGGTCCTTAGCAGCTGGCCACTACCCCGTATGCTCGCAGGCATGACCACAGACTGTTGCATGGGATCCGTTCATAGGCTTTTTATCGGTCAACAGAACAGACTTGCACCGGACGGGTGTACTTTTACAATTTCTCAACAATCTGGCGCAAGGCAAATATGTGGTCACAGGTGCTTCGACCGGGCCGAAAGCCACACCGCTGTTCTTGTATCTTGGAGTCAGTTATTCCGCGTCACCTTCTTTCTACCACATTTGCGTGGACTTTACCTGGGAAGCTCAATAACGTAATGCCCCTATAGTTGAAGCACTCTTTGTGGTCTCCCTTCATGAATACGGGTACAATAACCCGTTCTCTAGTCCGCATATGTATTTCTCGTAATCATCGGAGTTTGACAGACGCATGTAAGCCAGCACACGCCTTGTTCACGTAATGCCTTTAGCGTTTCAGGGCGGATTTCATCAATTCCAGCAACCTATCCGTTTTTCAAGCTTTTCACAGCTTGTGTAATTTCACCTACGTAGATGGTAATATCCGTTCGCCCCTGTTCTTCCTGCGATTGCTCGGGGTAAAGGAGTTTCTCAGAGTATTCTCTCCATCGCCAAAGAATGTCATCATCCTTGGTAAGAGGGTGTCGGGACCTGTCCTTCAAGACTTTGACTGTACTTCATTTTACCTCGGTGTCGGTAAATGGTCTGCCAGAATACCTTATTTGCCGTGTAGAAATTCGACTCCGACACCTCACCGAATTTCTCCCACGATTTAGCTTTGGCTTTCTCCACTGCTTTTGCCGCCACCTTGCTTGCTTCGACATATCGCACGCGACTACAGTGCCCTGTTTCCAAGCCATTTCTTGAACGCTGCCTTTTGTTCTCTGGCTGCTAGTTGTACTTCTCACGTCCACCAAGAAAATCTTTTCTTACTTCTAGGCTTTAGGTCATCCCGTTTAAAATCCGAACATTCGGCGGCACTTTCGAGTATGCCGGTCTTAAAGAGCTGCCACTCGGTTTCCACGTCAGAGGTCCTCACCAGGATCAGATCAAAGCGGCGTCCGATGTTGATTTCAAATTTTGCTCCCGTGTGCACCGATAATAATGCTTCCCATTTGATTCTCTAGTTGCTTCTACCACCAGATCATTATGTGATACTCTATTTCTTACATGGTACCATGCCAACAACAAGGTCCTAATCTGTTTATGGCTCTACGCCTCTCTTTACGCGAACATCCATTACAGAGCGTCGTAGGTCAGACGATACGATTATCAGATCGATCATGGGCGTATGTGCACAAGCTTCCTTGTACCAGGTATACCGATACACAGTTCGGTGATCGAAGATGTTCATAATGGATAGTCCGTTGTTTGCGCAAAACCGCAACAACTTATGTCGTTATTGTTGAGTTATCTAGAACCGTTTTTTCTAATTGCATTAAAATCGCACATGAGTATGAGGGACTCTGTGTTCGGCACTTCGGACAGAGCACACTGCACTTCCTCAAGGAAGGTATCATATTTCGCCCTCCAAATTAAACGCATAGACCTGTACCAAGGTCAACGCTTTAGCCTGTTGTAGCTTCAGTCAGGGGATTACCACCCTTCCGTTGACAGGCTTCCAATGAATGATTCTGTTTGCGATGTTGGGTTCTACCAGAACTCCAACAGCGTCCTGAGCTCGCGTCGTGATATCGACACTTGAGTAGAATAGCTTCCTCCCGCATACGTTCAGGATTCCAGAGCCTTGGCGTTTCGTTGACGAGAGTCCGTACTTTATGGCTTCATCAGCTAGCTCTTGCTCTGAGTGAGGGTATATTCCAATTCCGACTGTAAGCTCCCATTGGCGTTCTCGTTATCGTGGAGCCTTTTCTGGCGTGCTATAATGGCATCGCGCTGTCTGCCTCCTCCGTTCCGAACGGGCAGCGACTCTGTTGTGTTGCTACGCCCCAGGGCTTGCAGAGGGCGATGAGCAGCTTCTGATCGCTGACTTTTCGCAGTCTGCCTCAATCTCCCAACAGCCTGTGCAGCCCTCGGTAACCTGGTCGACGACTAAGCCGGTATAATTTTCGATGGCGTCAATAGCATGAGTGGCAGGTTGCGAACTTCGACACGGTCTTCAGTTCTCTTCCTTTCTCAACCGGGCTTGGGACCGTCAATGGCGAAGTTCGAGATATCCTTCCAGATATTTTGGAATGCGAAATAGATGCGAAAATTGGCCTCTTCATGAACTCCCAGAAGTCAGCAGTCTTCCGGAACTCATTCAGCACAGAAGATCAGCAAGTGGAACAGGGAAGTAAATGATAGAAGAACTTAAGCAAAATCAGTATCTCGGTTGCAGTCAGCAGCGGCACCATTGAATTTTATTTTGTTGGTTGATAGAAGAAACGCCCTTTCAGTGACTGTTAATTTGTTCTATTATTTAAGCTTAGGAAAGAATATTTCTTTCTACAAAAATGTATTGCCTAGCCTCAGAGACGTAGATACTGTCTTTTTAATAGATGTCTAAGGCTATGTTTGAAAGCGTACAGATATGTTGGCGAAGATACATTAGTAGGGTGACAGGATTTTATACAGAATGACTTCTGGGAATCGGTATCCTCAGCAGATGAACAAAATAAAAAAATGATGACGTCGTTAAGTAAATTGGTTTACCGCAGGTTGTTCGCTACAGTCAGCAACAATCTCGTGTAAGAATCGCAACATGGCAGGTGTCGACCAAGTCAGCATGCATGATCAAAGTAATTGTCAGATCCATGTTCATGAAGCAGTTGTTCCTTTTACGATAGTAACCTGTGCCATATAACAAAAGCTGAGCGTTGATAAGCTGAGAATGCGACGAAAAGCGCCAGTCGGAGACGTTCTGCTTGCGCAGAAGCCCGAAGGTTGCGGATGGCAGCATTAAGACGAACAGCATGATTGGCGATCTTTTTGAAGATGGTAGAGACAGAAAATGTGTAAAATTGTCCTGAAATCACGGCATATGTTAAAATTTTCCTCGTATTTGAGAAGTCGTATAATATCCATACCCATTGTCTGGCAGTTGTACGGAAATCTTGAATTGTCTACTTGGAAATCATTCAGGTGCACACGATACAGTACAAGCATGAAAATGTCGAACCTAAGTGCACGATGCAAGTAATCCCGCTATAATTTTTTAAATGGTGTAAGCAGCTGCTTCATTTTCTAGTGATCGTACTGAATATGTGGCGCTTTGTTAAACTTTTCATAGAACGTTGACCAGCTTATGGCGCCGATTTCCATTTTTGAGAATGCTTATTGTCTCCTACTGCATAAAAATTACGTCGTAGTCTCACTGTTGTCCCCGTCTTAAAGCTTGAAGGCAAATGAATTCTTCTGTAGATTTCTAGGTTGGTAACGAAAATTTATTTTTAGTTGTGCTCTGTAAACACTTCTAGTTTCTACGGTGTTTAATGTTCTCTTTCGGTTTTAACGTCTGCCTATGGTGGGTTTTTGACATGATTCTGAAATATCCACTTTCAAACAAGCGTTTCTCTACTCTATATTACTGGTACCAGTTTCCGTGTTCCAAAGTTAGATCTGTTTAAGGGAGATGCAGTTGTTTCTTGTGCTTATTTAGATTAAACTGATTATGAATTACATTACAACGAAATGGGACTTTTTGGCGCACGCTGTTTGGGCGCATACCGCTGGTTGCTGCCAACTTTCGGTGCTGCGTTCACCTCTTTGAATCTGTGTAATTAGACGGTAGTAGTCTGCATCAGCTATTTGATCTAACCACTCGTTATATCTCGGTGCAAATCTTTCTGTGAATTAAGTGCATTGCCGTTGTCAGATTTGTGATTTTCTGATCAAATTCCATTGTGATGGTCGTTCGAGGTTACTACGCCAGCGCGGCGCTACGGTCGCAAGTTTAAATCTATCGCTTGAGATTGGTTATCTGTATAAGTTACTTGATGTCCCTTTTATATTACCTCCTACTTGAAGGCTCTCTCCGAGCACAGTGCGATGTTTTGGTCAACTTTTGGATATCAGAAATTTGCAGTTTATTTCACGATTCTGTCGTGACGGCTGCACGAGGTCATTGAGCCAGTTTGATAGAATACATTGAGTGAAACAACAAGAATGTGTAACTAATATAGATTATCTGTCGTCTTATCTCCATATACAAATTACCATTGTGACAAAATTTGCATATTGCTCAGAGGTAGCATTTTATTGATAGGCACCATGACAAAATTATTTTCAAAGGAGATAGATTGGCTTCTGAAAATTTCATAAATTGAAACTGTCGAATACGTTACCCCATGCCGTTTTACTGAGCTGACGTAATCGCCGCAATGAAATCGTTAAACGAAAATGTTAATTGTGAAATCGATTTTTATGTTAAAAGTTTCGTATTGTGCTCTTAGAGAGTTTTTTATCGAGAACGGCGTATGAGTGATCAAATCAAGTCATGCAGATAGCCACCTGCCACACGTTGATTCTAACTCTCGACTAAATGACTGCACACTGACTTAGTCATTATGTGCTGATTTGATGACTGCGCACTAAATGACCTCGCGCAACCATCTCAATGGAATAATCATAAAATAAAACGAAAATGGTCGAAGATCACAAGCTTGACAACGACAACGCTTTGACTCGCAGAGAGCTTTCCATTAATAGGTAGTAAAATCGATAAAATGAAGTAATTGATGCTGATAAGTATTTGTTCATGATATGGATTTCAGCTTTCGACTGCATGACTGTGCGCTGACTGGACCTCGCGCGGCCACCGCACTGGAATGTAGTCAGAAATTCACAGTTTGTAAGCGGTATCACTTTCACTCCCAGAGAGTTTCCAAATGATGTAACAGGGTAAAATCAAATAGCTAGAGCAAATTACCACTGTCCAGTTATTCAAATTCAGACTGGTAAGCGCAGCACCGATCGCTAACAAAACCAGTGGTCTGAGCCCAAACACTGCGTCGTAGTATCATGGACTGCAGTGCAGTTATGTACTTATGGTAGAATTCGTGATTGATGCCATATGGAGATTGAAGATAAAGTTTGGCATTTCTTTTGAAATTGTATCACGTTTGTGTGATACTACGACGATATATGATTTGTGTGTTCCATAGTATGTGGTAGTGCGATATATGAAAGAGTTCGTATTTGATATGTCATGGCTTTAAGTTTAGTGATTTGGCTGGTTTGTTCGGAAGCGCGATACTGCCGGCGGTGGAACGGCAGCAGGTGACCGATTTTTTGAGTAAGCTTCGCCATTCGAAGGACAGCAGAGCGCGGTCGTTGGCCACCTGGACATTAAAGGAGATCAAGAAGTTGAAGCAAGGCGTGCAGGAAGCTTGAGATGCAGTTATCGTACGCGTTTATAGTTCATTTTCGTTTGCACACTGTCGGCGCTACAGAAGTGCTTGCTTCTGTTTAGATCGAACGTTGGCGCGTTCTTTATCAGAGAGTCGTGAATGGAATGTGTCCTGTCTGAAACTCATCGCATCCATCCCTCGGAAAAACCCCATTGTCTGGCCGACGCCTTGCGCTTTCACTGAACGTCGTTGATCGTTCCAAACCATGTCAGCTATCATCTTCATAATGCGTTAACTCAGGGATGAAACCCTGAAGATCGTTCCTGTTTCATTTCAAGTCTTCCTTCATTGTTTTCCGATCCTTGTCTGTGAGCGCATCATCAGACTGCTGCTTAATTTTTGTGTTGCCTCACGTATACGTGTAATTTTTGCATAACTACGTTTCTCCGTTCTTCTGTGGCCTCTCTTTGAATGATGGTTTTTATCGTTGTGCGTCTTGAATTGACATTGTATTCTTAGTAACTGTGTCGATTAAAAGGTCTCGCGACATTTCGAATTTTCTGATTTGCGGTTCATTTCGCTTCCCTTGATTGCAATGACGTCTTAAAAGTTGATGTTGCGGATCCAGTAAAATTCCGTGGTAAAATCATTCTTCCATAGGTGATATGCTGTCAGAATTTGTTCATCACCTGTCTTCGCAGTCGAAAGACGTCTGATCGAATTCTAGCCTGGTGATCTATCTCTTGACTTACCGTACTGGCAAACGAACGAATACCACAGTGTGTTGTAAAGAAGCTGGAGTCTATGCACAGTGCGTACTCATAGCCGTGGATATTGTCGCCAGGTAAATAAGGCACTCCTGGTTCATTGCAATGAAACAGGGATCAGCGCCGCACCGTAAGGTAAAGAAAAAAGGGGCTACAGATTAACCCCTCACAGGGACGCTTAGCGGAAACCACCATCCCAATGTCTAGAAAAGTTCTCATTTTCTTTTGAATGAGGGTATGGACTAATGTAGTCTAATATGTATCTTAAGGGATCAGCACGATATTAATTTTTAAACAGCACATGGAGCTAAATTTAACAGCGCTGAGATTAAACAGTAGCAGTACTTATGCGAAAGTAAGTACGAAGTTCACCAGTGTGTCGAACATAACTGAACTGTTTAGAATTAATTTTACGTCTCAACAAATGGTTTGGTCGATGTAGATAACGGACTGATCCCATGTTTCACGTCTGCTTATTTTTTACGCTATTTTTAACGATTCTTCGTTGATGCTAGGTACTTCACCTGCACCTATTTTGGAGAAGACTTCTCTTGCGTTGATGTCGATGTCCACGCAAAGTAAGTTATTTTTTCACTTTGGATTTGTAAATCAAACCAGTTCGATTGATGCGTAGGGACCATAATTAGTTTTTTAAGAATGACTGAATTCGTTTTATATGCTTCAGTAAGATACATAGCAGTGTTTTCGATCCATTGCTGAATGAAAGCCTCCAAAACTTTGCCATAAATTTTTGTTTTCTGTCATGTCGATTCAGTAAACTTCTTCAGTTCATCCTACCATCGATCTGGAGGACGTCATATTGGTTATCCACTCTTAAAATTCAGTCTAATTTCTGTCTGGTCCAGCGATGGTCAGTTCTTTTTGCACCGTGTCCTGTTCACTGCCACGTTACCTTATTCATTCGGGCAGTAACATTGCAGATTCTTGGTTGTTCTCGTAGCCGTTCATAGTCTTTTCCTGCTATTCCAAACGTTACGTCATCCCACTCTGCATTACGCAGTCTGGCTTGCAGGCTTAGGGTTTACGCTAGAGCACACATTGTTGGAAAACTTTCTGTTTCAAGCACAAATGCAGTTTCCCAGATAGGAACATTTTCAGTCTTTCAAAAGGGCTCATGCCACTTTTATTCTTTTTCACATTTGATGTAGTGAGTTCTCTATTACAGAGATGAGCTGTCGCAGAGAGACATAGTTTTGCACTCCTTCAAGTCTGAATCCGTTCCCTTCAACAGGTCGAGCGGTCATGTATTTGTGTAACGTGACCAGTTTTGAGGTTTACGTTCATTTCCTCTTTCATGTTGGCGTCGTTCAGCTGTTAGATTCTTCTTCTTCTGAGTTCTTCTGGTGACAGAAGAGAACCAGAGTGTCGCCCGCAAACCGCTGCAGGTAATGCCCATTTATCTTCAACCCTTGAACTTCCCAACGGAGGGTCTTAAAAATGTTTTCCAGGACTGTTGTGAATAACTTCAGTGATATTGCGTACCTTCTCGAAAGCCCTTTTCCATCTTAAACTTGATTATATTTTCGTGAACTTTCGCTGTATTGGTGTAAATAATGGCACTCAGGTTTATATTTACTCTAAAATTCAAGGAATCCCTACAGAATGGATGTACACCGAATCGAAAGCCTTTTCAATGTCAGCGAATTGTCAGGCAAAGAGGAAGCTGTTATTTTTTGTTTGTCTGAGTTACTTGTTTTACCGTCTGGAGTTGATTTGTCGTACTAAATCCAGTTCTGAATCCTGCTTGCTCCTTTTGTTGTGCAGTGTCCAGTTTTTCTTGAAGTCTGATCGTCACTGTCTTCGTCAAGATTCTGCGCATATTTTGCAGCCAGTCGTTCAGCCTGTAGTTCTTCAAATATTCTGCCCCGCTTTTTGTGGATTAGAATCACTAATACGGTAGTTCAAACGTGTGGAATTTTTATTTCTTTCAGACTGCGTCAAAACAAACGCCCAGATATCTTGGCCAATGCTTCACCTCCAGATTCTATGAGTTCCATTGTAGTACCGTCTTTTGGCATTCTTTCAACTTTGTTTATACCTTCATGTTCCTTTCATCGTCGTCAGGAGTGGTGCTGTACAATATTCTGCAAAAATCTTTTACTCTCATTCCACTCCGGTAAAACCTCGTGTCTGTCCCTAATGACAGTCCCATCTGCTGCTTTGAGAGCTAAAGCTTGTTGTTTCTCGACCGTAAATCGTAGATTTAATTTCTTCAGGCATCGGTTATTTTCTTCACTTTCTTTTACTACTCTGAGTTGAATGCCCAGACGTCTTTTATTCATTTCCTTAAAGTTTTGCAAAATTCCACATATTCCTACTTTGATCTCTTTCTTCTGTCTTCGTTTCCTCTGAGTTTTTTCGTTCGCTTCCTTATTTTTCGGTCGACTTTCATAAATGTTGTTCCATTGATATTTTCTGCCGTTTCGGTAACTACCTTCTTTTTATCCTGATATATTGCGTTAATGCCCACAGCTGCTCCTTACTTCGAGTTGAACGAGCATTTGTTATTTAGAGTTGGAATAACGGGAGGGTCTTCTTTAGAGTTTCCACATCGAGTACGTTGCATCTTGTCCTCAACAATGTCCTTCTTTCCAAAGCTCAGTTCAGGCACCATTTGCGTATGACGAGCCTGTAATCGCTTCTTGAATTAAGCCTTTTGAGGACCAAAACTTTCTGCACTGCGCTGTGATCTTCATGTTACTGAGGAAGAAATTGATTTTATTCTTGTCGTCGTTGTGGCTTTTCCAAGTCCATCATTTGCTTCTTTTCTTAGAGAAATATGTTCATAGTAACTTATCAAGTACGATACATATAAGTTTCTCTAATGAGCAGAAACTGTAAAGTTGTTCCTTCCTGTCACAATGAGACCATTCCAGCCCAAAGTAAGGTAACGTGCTTCATCCTAAGAAAAAGCGGTCCATATAGAAAATATGTGCATAAGCTATATAAGGATATATTGTGCTATATTTAAATTTATCTATAATTTAAGTATATGCAGTAATTCACTGCTGCTTGTGAGTTGTCAAAAGCAAGTCGATTTCTAGATGTACAGTAGTTTGAATTCGACTATTCCAAATCGTTCTGTTGAAATTAACATGTGATTACCTTTCAACCGCATTAGCCATTAGTAAGCTCTGTTAGTTTTCAAGGTGCATCGTTATCTCTATCGTGACATTTGTAACCGGCAGCTTGCCTAAGGCGAAGGCTAAATGAAAATTGATGACTTTCTGTGACATCGTTAAAAATTTTTATACAGCAAAAATCCGGGTTACCACAGAGATTATCAAGCAAACGATCTCTGATTTGATTTGTTCATTGTTGTGTTTTTTGCGATAGTTCCATTCATAGGCGTTGTCATGCTTACTCTTTACTCATTTTACCGTCCACTGAAAAAAATAGTTTTCAGACCTTGTCACTGCTGGACAACACCACAATATCATTCATGCAACGCTTCGTCCAAACATCGTCCGAGTTGCATTGCCAGATGTCTTCCTATTGTCTGCGTCTGCCATGAAGTCCAGTGCTTTCGTCTTTAATCTGTCATGGAAGCCAGACAACGAAGAAACTTAAGCGTCATTCAGTAACATTCTTTCTGTATGTCTGTAAAAACATTCTTTACTGTCGTAAACGGTTTTTTAATGAAGTAGAAGTAATTTTCGAATGATAGTTTTTTTATACATAAATTCTTTTAGGAATATGCAACTGACTGCTTGTCCTGATAAAAAAATTGATGCACCGCTGTTGTTGATCACAGAAATCACGCTAAAATCTTCATCCTGCCGTGTACCTTCTGAACAGATTCAGTAACTGTCAGCTCTAAGAGACAATAACATTTTTCATGCCATTTGGAATGCACTGGAGAACAGTAGCTCGAAGTTGCACGATGTAGCGGCTCTGAATAGAAAATAGTACTTATCAGCAATTGGGAGTAAGGTACTCTTACGTCAGCATGTAATTGCCATTAAACTGTTGTTTATATGTTTTCATTCTGCGCATGAAAGTTCATAACGTACTAGAATTGTGCAGATACGAGCCGGTGCGCAAAGTTAACACCGTCATCAGTTTCTGTGCTTTTTTGGCACTCTTTAGAATACTCCACATTCCAGCATGGTTCTACTCCGAATGCTGCACGACCAGAAAGAAATATCTCGACAAAGAGTAGACGTTTATTAGCTGACTGGTTCGTTTCCATGAACAAAGTTTGCGAGCAATTTAAGAACAGCCATTCTTGAGTGTATTTCTTTGTGCACTGGAA